CTTCCACTCTTCTGGGAAGGCTTTCTACAAGATTTTGGAGTCTGTCTGTGGGAATGTTTGCCCATTCATCCAGAAGAGCATTTGTGAGGTCAGACACTGATGTTGGACGAGAGGCTGGCTCTCCGTTCTAGTTCATCCCAAAGGTGTTCAATGGGGTGGGGGTCAGGGCTCGGTGCGGGCCAGTCAAGTTCTTTCACACCAAACTCATCTAACCATGCATTCATGGACCTTGCTTTGTGGGGCACAGTGATGCTGAAACAGAAAAGGGCCTTCCCCAAACTGTTTCCACAAAGTTGGAAGCATAGAATTGTCCATAATGACTTGGTAAGATGAAGCATTAAGAATCCACTTCACTGGAACTAAGGGGCCGAGGCCAAGCCCAGAAAAACAACCATAGCATTATCCCTCCTCCACCAAACTTTACAGTTGGCACAATGCAGTCAGGCAGGTAACGTTCTCCTGGCATTCGCCAAACCCAGACTCGTCCATCAGAGGACATCCATTTTTGTGTGAATACAGTTACCTTGTTTTTGTATCCTGATTACGTATTCTGTTACATGTAATCCGTTTGATTGATTGATTGATTGAAAAGTTTATTAACAGCTTGTATATTGGGTACAGTACAGTACAGCTCAAAACATACAATTGTTAAGGGGATGCAGACCAGAGAAAGACTTTCGTCTTGTTTACATCAGGGTCCCCCATTTCCAATTCATCATATCATTTAAGACATATAAGACATATTTGACATACAGATGGCTTATTTACAATTTACATACAGGTGGTTTTTTACATACAGATGGCTTATTTACAATTTTCACTTTAGGTTTCGTTCTAATACATCCTAACCGGACATTTAAGACATACCAAGTCTACAGATATACAGTTAGTAACAGAGTCTAAAATGCGAGTATAGATGGGGGGGGGAAGCTGTCCATTGTACGACAGGTTGAGATTTGTACCATTACCGGGGCCAGTTTTGCAATGCTCTCCCCCGAAGGTGCTCTTTAAGAGAGGTTTTGAAGGTAAGTATAGTTTTACTTTCCTTTACAGTTGTGGGAAGAGCGTTCCACCTTGATGTGGCATAATTGCGAAACGTGTATTCCCCCTTTTTTGTGCCAAATCTGGGTTTTACATGATTTGTGGAGCTCCCTCTGGTGTTATGATCATGGTATGACCTTTGGGAAGAATTTTGACATGTACATGGGTACCATAGAGGTGTAGTGGATCTTGTAGACCAGGCCCATTGCAAGTAGCTGTACTCTGTCGTCTACTCTAAGCCATCCTAGGTTGTCAAAGTGGGTAGAGGTGAGGTGGGTTCTAGATGAAAGGTCAAGCAGTAGTCTGACCAGTTTATTTTGCGATGTTTGAAGTTTTATTTTTAGCGCCTTGGAGGTGCTATGGTACCATGACGTGCAGGCATAGTCATAGTACCCTTGAATGAGTGCTCCTGCCAGAGTTTTCAGGGTGTTTTTGTTTACCAGAGAGGAGATCCGGTATAGGAATCTAGTTCTTTGATTGACTTTTTATATTACATTAGCCGCGTTCACACCGGAGTACTTTTCACCGTACTTTTCGCGTTTAGTTCCGTTAGTACCCCTTATGTCGCGTTCACACCAAAAATCGTACTTAATCTCGGGTACTTTTACCCCCATTTTTAGAGCCGGCTGAGAGAGCGTACTTTCCTGAGGGTGAAAAGTGCCCCAGTGCTGATTGGCTGGGCGAATTGCAAACCACGCCCGTACAACTGTGAAAATGTTGTGTGGGGGCGCCATTGTTTTCCCTCGCTACAAAATCCCAACGCACCGACGGAGCGTTGGGTTTGTTTTTGAAAGCAGTTATGGCAAGCATCAAGAAATGATGAGGAGGTGTCGGCGCTTCTGGAGATCTACGCCGAGGACGCGACCCAGGGAATGCTACTGAAGCCAGTTCAGTAGCTTTCACTCGACCTGGGAATCGTGCACAGCCCCACGGCACACACCGGCTAAAAATAAAGAAACTCGGGCAGGACTACAAACGGCGGATTCAGTGGCCAACGATGACGACCACGACGAAGGTAAAATCAACTACATGCACTGGGGTTTTAATCTGCACAATAATGGTCTCAGATGTACTTTTATTTGCTCAGTAGATCAAGCTAGCCATGCTAGGCTGAATAGGCTAACACCGGCCCCGAGCTAGCTACATCTAGCTAGCTAGATATTCTCGGCCGTATGAAAACGTTTTGACTTGTGAATAACTGTGTAGTGTTTCTGTAATTTGCTTCACTAACTCATGGCACTAATCGTCTGTTTCAGGCGAGGATGGACAACTCTCGGGATTGGAAACAAGCGAGCTTTGCATTCTAGATCACAGCCCTAGCTCGTCCCCCTTACCAGCAACCAAACGCAAAGGTACACACACTGTAACTTTGTCTTGAAAGAACGTTACGCATCGAACTGATGTTCACAATCATGTTTATTTCCTTCTTGGTACAATTATGAAACAGCGTGAAAACGTATTCGCCTAGACCGGCATTTACAAATGTCTCACACAAACATTGTAAACATCAGGGCTAGAGGTCACATGACTTCCGGTACGAAAACTTGCCTCAACAACATTAAACAAAATTCAAGCATACATGAAGCACAATCCTCCGTGTTTGAACCTCTTAAATCGCTGCATCGCCGATTTATTTGGACTGGATTATCCCAGAGAGGCTAAACATTCTTTATAACACAGTTTGAGATTTGTGAAACCTTAATTCTATTTGTAAAAATACAAAAAAGGGAGATTTCAGTGCTTTTTTTTACATGTAGACCACATTAGACCAGGTCCTGATCTAAAACCACTATACCTAGACTCATCAAATCTGGACTGGATTATCCCAGAGTCAAAAGATTCTTTATAACACAGTTTCAGATTTGTGAAACCTTAATTCTATTTGTGAAAATACAAAAAACACATTCCTAGTATGTTGTAAAACTACATGGCGACTAAACAAATCTTGTATCTTGCTTATTTTCCCCTTTTAGGAAAGCGGACACGGGATGCGAATTTCTTTGACACCGTCCAGGCGTTGGAGGACCGGCGTGCCGTGGTGAAAGAGTCGATGCACGGGGATCAGATGGTGCTGTTCACCAAGGCCCAGGAAACGGAGGACAAGATGCTCACCAGTTCATTTTATATTATTGTTATTACTGTTATTATATAGTCTTGATACAACTGACACTTTATTTTATATTGATAATGTTAATTTACATGTACAACTTCTATTTTATTTACATAAAAAATATGAACTTCTATTTACTGTTAAACAGATCCTGTAGCTTGCTTATTTCTCCTGACACTTTATCTTTAGTGACCGTAGCATCCTATACATCACATGTAAGTGATTATTCTGATACCATCATGTTTCATCGGTTATAAACTGGCAAAGCTTTATTTGTCATTTATTTATCATCAATGTTGCAACCTTGTGGAGGAATGGCAGGGGCACATACACAAATATGATAATTTATATAATTTTAAATATTATTTGACCTAAAACTAAATGTTTTTATGATTGTCCTCTGAGGAGGACATGGGGATTTGCAAACCTTTAATTCCTCCCCCCCCCATTTTACACAACACAAAATGGAGTCCACTATGGGCCGAAACTAACATTTATGTTTCCATAGTGTTTATGGCAGACGGATGCAGTGGGTCTCAGGAAGATAAATAATAATGGTGGGTTTGCTGCTGAGCCTATTTACTGTGCATACAACACAACTGGCACAGTTTATTGTTATTATATTGCCACACTGTACACTATTGTAATGTTGCCTGTCTTGACTGGAAAATAAAAGAGAAACAAAAGCACTGTACAAAAGATTAGCTTTATTGTCAAAATGTTTACAATTTACACGCTGTTCAGATGCCTCATAAAGCTGGGTCGCCGGTAAGGCAGTCCATTCGTCCCTGTACTCATTACTTTCACAAAGGTTATGTAATATGCAACATGCTGCCACCTGGATTGTGATCTTGTAGTCGTTTCTTTTCATCAAGCACCGCCACCTGCCCTTCAGTCTGCCAAAAGCGTTCTCCACCACCACTCGTGCTCGGCTTGTTTTGTTATTGTACGCAAGTTGCTCAGGCTGCATTAACTCAGTTACAAAGCTGTATAACATGAGCACAAACAGCACAACTTCAGTCGACTCCATCTCCATCATGTCTGAGGTCGGAAGGTAAACAGACGCCTAATGTACAGCGAGTGGGTGGGCGTCGCAGTATACGCGGGAAGTTTTTCTTCTTCTTCTCTTGTTTTGCAGCGGATTGCAAACAACTTTAAGGTGCATACCGCCACCTACTGTACTCGCTGTGAAGTGGTTTGTGGCCTGCCAGTAAAGCCAAAGCAGAAGAAGAAGAAGTGACGTCAGCGGCTCATTTGCGTAATCTTCCCTCGGGGAAAAGTACTCCGATCTGCGATCTGTACTAAGTGCCCTGGGGTTAAAAGCGCCGGGGCTCTTAGTACTAAGTACAGGAAAGTACTTGGTGTGAACGCGGCTATAGGCTCTGTGCACAAGATGGCGTCTATCAACTTCCGGCGGGTGGGTGTGGGGGCGAGTACTTCCGGTTTGAGTACAGAGTTTTTACAGCTTGACAGTTTGACAGTTTGACAGTATGTTATGACACACCAAGAGCAAGAATGAGCGGATTTCGGGGTAAAGAAAAGCGATTGGCCTTCCAGCGGGTAAGAAAGTTGGCACTACATTGCTGTGTGCCACTGTGTACGAATTCGGCCCGTTATAATCGGGAGATAAGTTTCCATGCATTTCCCATTGATGCTGAGGTAAAGGCTCAGTGGCTGATCAAGGTCCGTAGGGACAATTTCAGCCCCACAAAAAATACCCGTGTGTGCAGTAGGCATTTTCGACCAGGAGACTTATTGGTCACAGCGGGAGGACTGCACAGAGTACAGAAAGGAGCTACACCTGTTCTCTTTGCATGGAATAACTACGAGCTACCTACACCAAGACGTAATGTTTGGGAGCGTCGGCCGAGGGCAGAGAGCCCCCACCCCGGACTTGACAGCTGAGTACGAGGTGGAAACAGTTGCGCTGCCTGATCATGAGTACTGTTTAAATCCAGCGACGGCAGTGATGGCAAATCAGGTGGCCGACGAGAACGAAGCCTTGAAAATGCAGGTTAGGGAGCTCCAACACCAGCTGGAAGTGTTACAACTGCGATCTCGTTTCGGGATACAACGCCTGGCAGGGTCGGACGAGGACATTCGTTTCTACACCAGGTTTGTTTATAAGGCTATCAGGATGTTGTTATGGCCACTAGTTTGAAAAACACCTTTCATTTGGGGAAGCTAATTTAAGAAACAAAACAATGTCTAACATGAACAATATTACATTCTTAGATTTGCCACATACAAGCATTTCCTTGCCTTTTGGAAATTGGTGGAGCCAGCAGCCAACACCAAGATGGTGCGGATCACCAACGCCAAGGCATCCTCTGCCAGCAGCTCGGATTCCTCTCAACCAACAACGGTATGCAGCATACAAGCATGGATGTATATTAATAATTATGCACGCTGCGCACTATACCACCGTTTAACAAGTGCATCACACCACTCACACAACACACACACATGCCACACACACACACACACACACACATGCCACACACACACAAACGGAAAATGTGTTACAACTGTACCGGTCTCCCTATAACAGTATCTACAGTATGCCTAACACTTATTTGTTTTGACAGAAACTTCCACCCATAGATGAGCTGCTGCTGTTCCTCATGCACCTGTCAGTGGGCCTACATCTGAGGGATCTAGCAGAACGGTTTGGCATTCACCGCACCACAGTCAGCAGAATTATTTCCACCTGGACACACTTCCTATACCAACTGCTTGGAAGCCAACGTCTGTGGATCCCACGCGAAGTTGTCAGAGCTCACCTTCCACCAGAGTTTTCAGCTTTCCCTAACACACAAGTGGTGCTTGACTGCACTGAAGTATTCTGCCAGACTCCATCATCTCTCCTGCTGCAGAGTGAGGTGTTTTCAACATACAAGTCTCATGCTACATTCAAGGCCATGATCGGCATGGCACCACATGGTGCCATTACATTTGTGTCTGGCCTGTATGCAGGATCTATGAGTGACCGGGAGATTTTCAAGCTGTCTGGCATCGTGAGCCTGCTCACACCAGACATGGCAATAATGGTCGACAAAGGGTTCCTTGTGGACAATCTGGTTGAGTGCAAAGTTTACCGGCCTGCCTTTCTGTAAAAAAAAAACCCAAATGAGCAGGGAGGATGTCAGGCAGACTCAATCCATTGCACGTCTGAGGGTCCATGTGGAGAGGTGCATCAGAAGGGTCAAAGAGAACAAACTCTTTGACAAAGCCATACCACTGTCTGTGTGTGGAAGCATTGAGGAGCTTTTCAATGTGGCTTGCTTCCTGGTCAACTACCAGAACGGACCACTGGTGAAAGCATGGGCAAGCCTGGGCAGCAATGATTAAAAGATTTCTTGCTCCCAAACCAATTGTGTATTTCATTGTGGTCATTACAAAAAGCAGTTATACCATACTATGTTTAGGTACTAATGAATTATAACCTCAAAACAAATGCACACAAAAATAACATAGGACAATACATAATATAATAAATCCACAATATGATAACATTTTACAGATTCATTTAATACACTTTTACAAAACATAGGTTGATGTTATATCGGGGGGAAAAAATACATATTTAAACATTTCAATTAGTCTCTGCATATTTAAGTAATGCTAGTTTATGTAACAGATGAACAGATCAATGCAAGATAAGTTAGTTAGCATCCACAACTTTTGTTAATGAATAACGTCATATGACATTAAATGTCTGCCAATAAACACCCCTTTCTTCCTCACATAGGTCCTTTGACTAAAGGATCTTTTTGACTTATAGAACACACTTGGTTCTGGTTTTAGCAATTGAAAGAACTATATACAGGAAAATATTCATGTTAGATCAGTAATGTAGTGTGATGTAGTGTGGTACACTAATGTAGTGTAGTGCATATCAGTCCATGTAAAAATAAAAATAAAAATAATCTCCCTTCTCCCTAATGGTTGTAGCCACCTCGCAGTCTCTGCAGATACGCTGTATAAGGATATCCTCCTCTGCACAGGTGGTAGGCTCCAGCCTATAGCCATCCACAGGTAGAGGTGGTGGTGGAGGGGCATCTGGGTGACGCACTATAACCCGGCTAAGAGGTAGTGGATGCTGGTATGAGATAGGGCTACCTTCCTGAACTTTTCCAAAGGTGGAGTTAACCAGTGGCACGTCCACACTTATAGCCATGGTGGTGATCAGTGGTGCGATGTCTGCTGAGAAGTCCTTGTATACCTCGCTGACTTTGAGGACATTTGGGTCTGGCAGCTCCCCCCGCACGGCCTTGTAACGTGTACTCCTTTGAACATGTTTATATAATAATTAGGACTTTAAGAACAATTTTACACTCAGACAACAATCACAAAGTTGTTGCAGGCTACATACAATTACTTAGGACAATAGATATTACCTTACACCGTCAGCAACTGTAAACTGCTTTGGCTTAGTGGAAATGAACACCATGTCACTCACTCTGCCTGGTTTCACACCCTATTAATTACACAAAAGAATTGTCAAATTAATTGAAATGGTCATTGATGCAACATACTAGATCAGCTCTTGGCACAAAGGAAATACTCATTAAACCGTGGATTGGTTGTGAACACATACTGTACTTACCATGGTTCTTGGCTTGTGCCATCGCTGCTCTGTTTCAGTGCAGCTGAGGACAGGGGGTACAGCAGCCAGGTTGAGTGTGGAGTAGTGTGCGGTCTGGAACAGCAGTGCAACATTGTGGTTGCAGAGTGCTGTTCCAGCTACACAGGAACACTTTGCCACTGCAATCTCCACGGGTGAGCAGTTCTCAAAGACAATCTACACATTAAAATAAAATGTCAGTCATTTTACATTTAGAACACTGCTTCAATACAACACAGACAAATGAGAAAGCTGAGAGCAGGCTGATCAGGCAAGTAGTATGTGTGGGAAAAGGCTAAACCATTTCAGGTTATCAGTCACATCACATACACAGAAGTTCTGCTGTTTGGAATACTGTAATTTAAGGACATTCAAACAGATAAACTCTCTCAGCTGTCTCAATTTATTATCTTATTATTATATTATAACTACATAAAATAGTGTTAGTAGAACGTTGAACAGCTTAACATAGATGTAGGGTACAAAACCAGCACTTACCTAACACTGGCCCATACAAATAACTGGACCCTACATGGATTATACTAACCATACAGTAAAGAACAGCAGCCGTCACAACCAGTTTCTGGGGTTTCCATGAAAGCAGAGACGGTTTTCAACCTCTCATTAAGCATCTTTGATGAAAGCTAAGTTTGGGTTTAGCTAATGTATTTATCATTTTACACGAGAGGATTACAAAACGAAAATAAATCTGTAGCCCCTTCATGCTACACACACATAGCTAGCTACCAGTTGATGTGAGCTAATTTATTGTCACTATGCAATCTGTTGCAACACGTCAGCTAGCTGGGCTTTTTTGAATCCTAAATCACAGGTTACCTACTCTAGCCACAGCAAAACCCCAGAACATGAACCTGATTGAGGCTTTGAACCGATGAACACTTTTTATTTTCCTCCCTACTCTGAGATCGTGAGGCTTTTCATGCTTCCTCATGGACCTGTAACAGCTAGCCCTGACGCTCACTCTCCCTGAAGGTAGATCTTTGTTTGAAACTGTGGGGAATTGGACATCATTCATGTTATCCAAAACACGTAATAGTACATAATTAAAACGCTTTACACTGTATCAAGACTGTCAAGTTGTCAAAGTTAGCCAGTAACTACAGCTTTGTTTGTCACTTACCTTCATAGTTGTCGATGTAACTGGATATGTACATTGAAGTAAAAAGATATGATTCTAAACTGTATTGAAGTAAACATGTATTATTTTGAATTGTATTTTAGTGAACATGTATTGTTTGAACTGTTTTAAGTAATCACATATATAGAAATGATATTCTCACTTACAACTCACTGACCCAGAGATCCTGTTTCACACACACACAGCTCCTTTTCACCAGAGCGCACACACATGTTATTTTTCAAGGTTCCTTATGGGCATCATTATATCTGTGTACAAGGTTTAATTGTATGAGAAAGAATAGTTTATGTGAAAGATCCCATGGGAAAGTAAGGGAGTGGATATCGGGGCAGAGATAAGATTGACTTTGACCTTGTGAAACTTTAGAATCTCACGTTCTGGTCAGAACTCTGATTCGCTGTATTGAACCCGACCAGAAGTGAATCCAACCAGTAAAAACACCTGGGGGATGTGAGCAGCTCACACAGCTCCTCCTCACGGACTCTCTAATTCGCTTTGGAGTAAAAGGGGAAGGGAAAAGTCAACAAATCTCCGCCCCAAAATATGAATATGAATACTGTTGTTTTTGAATGTAAAATGCTTCTGGTTTGCTGAAGGCTGGTCTAGAGACGGTAAACCGCATCACAAACCTGGAGTCCATACTTCTCGTTTTCTGAAAGCTGGTCTGTCTACCTGTAAACAGCATCACAAGCCTGAAGCCCGGAGTACTCTGTACAACTAAGTATACGTGTTTTATTTCCTACCAGTAAACTCAGATAATTGTTATAACTTTTGATTCCGGTGTTTTCAATTCCTTTCTTTATTAAATAGAGATCAAGCCTCATCCAACGAACGGCGCGGAGAGGGGGCTATCAGCCACCAGATAGGTGTTCTGCTCCAACAACATCTTGAACCCCTTTTCTCTTTTGCTCCTCGGGGCTGAGCTTGCCGCTTGTACCAGCCGATGTACATCACTGATGTTAACCTTCGGTAGGTCTTGGAGACATCGAGTGTAAAATAGTGCCATCACGTTAACGTTAGCTCCTCTATCGCTATCTATATCGCTTCGCTATCTACCCGCACTACCGCTCTACCGTAGACCGGATGTTTACAAGCGCCCACTCAATGAACCGGAAATGGAAATACGTCATCCCGTGCAACTAGCCTATTGGATGCCATTTTGTCACAGGAGAGGTTTGCCTCAAGAATAGATCCTAGGTATGTAATTTCCTTCTTACTTGTGACAATAATGTCACCCACTGCAACTGAGAAGTCGTCAGATTTTCTGAGATTATGTTTCGAACCGAAGAGAATGGACTCTGTTTTACCCAGGTGTAATGATAATTTATTATCGGCGAGCCAGTTGCAGATTCTGCCGAGCTCGGAGCTGAGGGTTTTTTCAACCTGCAATCTGCTCCTGTCAGAGACCAGCAGGGCTGAGTCGTCCGCGAACAGGAACAAGTTGCAGTCACATGCTGATGACATGTCATTTGCATAAATTAGGAACAGTAACGGACCTAATATGTTACTCCCCAAGCCTGCTGGTCAGGTAGCCAATAAAGTCCGGCAGTGGCTCAGTCGGTAGGGGCTTGGACCGGGAGCCGTAGGGTCGACGGTTCAAGTCCCCGAATATATGGAGTGTGGACTGGTACTTGGAGAGGTCCCAGTTCACCTCCTGGTAGTACTAGGATAGGTTAAATGCAGAGGTCAAATTTCACTGTGTGTGCTGTATGCATGTATGTGTGACCATTAAAGAGGGTTTCATCCTCCCATTCTATATATTCTATAGCTGAGAATAATCTCAGTAAGCATAACGTGCAGTTACCAGCAGTCAAGTTAAAACAATGCAGTTATTAACCTCTGCCAGTGCTCCCCAGCATGGGGAATAAATGGGACTCAGTCTGACAGCGCCATGTTTGGGGTATGGCTATATTTGCATGATTGACAGGTGTCACATCCAATCACACTCAGCCAAGGCAGTCACCATTGTTGTTGATCTCAGCTCAGCTCCACCCACGACTCCTCTCACATGACCAAACTTAGACCTTCCTGCTCCCATAAAGCAGCAGGTGGTAACCATGACGCCCATCACAACCCTTGGCTGCGTCCATCTTCTCTGCAGGCTGTGTTAACACCTTCCTGCTCTCTGGTGTCTCACACATATGGAGCTGCACACACACACACACACACACACACACACACACACACACACACACACACACACACACACACACACACACACACACACACACACACACACACACGTCTCACTGCAGGAGAAAAAAATACACACAGGCCCATTGAGTATTGCAGTTTCCATAGCAACAGGGATAGTGATGGAGAGTGGGTTGTGTGAGATTGGCATCAGGGAGTGTGTGAGTAAAGCTGCAACTGTGTGTAACTGAGTGTGTGTGAAGATAAAGATAAGGAGGATGGAGACGTGCTGTTGGCTTTATTTACTCTCCATCACACACATTCATCCAGTCCCCCCCCCCCGCCAAGGTGGAGCAGAATGACGCTGAATATCTTCTCTCATTATTATTCCCCCACCCCCTCCATCCGTCTCCCACCACAGCTGGATAAGCCAGCCCCTCACAGCTCCTCTCACAGAGCAGGGATTTGAAGATTGCATCCTCACGTTTGTAATCAGAGGAAGGAACGGATTATCTCCATGTTGTTCTCTGCCGGGGGCTGCTGAGAAAAAGGAGGGAGAGCAGAGAGGATGACATGCAGCTCAGTGAATGGAGTGTAGTCACAGATAGAGAGGAGGGAGAGGTCACCTGTGGATGTGAGCAGGGGGAGGAGGACCTGCACCCATCAGCCGACACACCGAGGAGAGAAGAGCTCAGCAGGGAGGATCTGTGAAGGTAAGCTAGCTGCTGGAGGAAATGTTGGAATCTTTTCTGCTCGGGAATACTCGGATCATATGGGTGTGAGGTCCTGACGATGGTGTGGAGTCTGGTTCTGGTTCAGCCCACCTCCTGACCTCCTTTCAGCATCCAGGAGTCTCTAACTGGAGATTCCCGCCTACGTTATCTATGTGGGCCTGAGTTTGTAATTCAACATTACAAAAATTATATCAGGTTTTAAAGTGAAACCTCCTAAAACAAGCATTTAAAATAGCATCAGTTTTTTTTGTTAAAAAAAGTTAAATTCTGTTTGCCAAAAATATTTTTCTTAAAATACAGTTTCTAATATGGGAGACGCAGCTTGGGACTGTCAGCCTCTGACTTTAACACACGCTGTCATGACGTAACAGCAGCCAGACCAATCAGCCTTGAACTGTTTCTGTTCAAACAAAAGCTGAGAAGAACAATGTCAATCTCATGTCATACGTGTACAATTTAGAGCTGGAGTCAAGGCGTGGTTAGCCTAGCTTAGCATAAAGACCCAGAGCAGGGGAAACAGCTAGCCTGGTTCTGTGAAAAGTTCAAAAATACACTTTCCAACATCTCCACAGATCACTGATCAATATGTTGTGTCATGTTTGTCTAATCTGTCCACCAACAGACATTTAAAATCCACAATTCCAGTCTTCATGTTAAGCTAGGCTCACCACATATGGGAGTATTTCATCAACATGTTCATTAAATGGGATTGAAACACAGTGTTCGTGAGTCAGAGGAAACACACACATGAAGCTGAGGCTGATATGCAGACTGTAGAGCCGTGCGCTAACGCTGACCCCCCCACAGCGGGCCGGTCCAGGTCCCACCCGCTGAACATTGTTCTATTTGATAAAAAGGAAAGAAAGCCCCAACGGGATTGTTAAAAAACACTCATGTGTTCTATTGAGGTTGTCATTATAAAATGGTGCCTTTGCTTGTGGTCCTGCCTATTAGACCGATAATCATCATTAATAGATTTATTTTCTAAGCAGTGACAGATAAATACTAATAAAATACTGTATTTGCTGTTATTCTCTCATGTTTGAATGCTCAGAATGCTTTCAGGAATATGTGTACTCCTAGACTGCCACCATTCTGTCATTATCACAGTTGGCTAGGGGGGAGGAGGTGCTTTGGATTGAGCACACTTCATTTATAATGTTAATTGAAATGACTGACTGTGAAGATTGCACATAGTGATTGTTTTTGTGTTCTGGAAGTGATTGCAATTACCACAACTTGCAGTTTATTTTCTTCAGGAGACACATGAATGTTCACACACAGCCTCAGTTCTGTGTGTGATGATTGGAGGATGCTCTGTGCCTCCAGAAGCCCATGTGACATTGACATTTGTATTTGTTCACTTTTATATGTTTTATTTTTTCTAACATTTAGGAAATACCACTTTATAGCTCAGAGATATTTTCAACAAGCAGACAGAAAGGTGCAGTGACCAGCTCTGACCGTTACTGCTGTCACAGCTGCCTGCCCTCCTGCTGCCTGTAGAGGGCAGCGTCTGCACACAATGCCTTTCCACTCACATCATATTTATATATATATTTAAATATAATGTTATTCAATTGAGGAAAAATAGCATAGTATATCAGTGAAGTGAAGTGCACAATTGTTATTCTGACGCACAACATTTTAAACGTAAAAGGTGGGGGCCATGGTGACTTCCTGTGACTCATGTTGTATTTCTTCTTTCAGGTGTTCCATGGCAGAGACCGGGGGTCCTGTGTCAGAGCTGAAGCCTGGAGGGGTGGCCGTCGCCCTCTCTGGTCAGCCCCTCTGTGACCCCTCCAGGACCTGGGCACAGCCGCCAGCAGCCTGCAGACCGGCGGCAGGAACAGCCTGCCCCCCCCCCACAGGAGCTCCATCAGGAACATTCTGGAAGTGACGGCTTCAGTCTGAGGGTGGGGGGACAGGAAAAAAGCCAATGTGAACACTTTGTGCCCTATAAGGCTCCAAGCCCCCCCCATAGTCTGGCTGAGAAACACACCCCCCAACATCCAGACAAGGCCGTGGTGACTGCAGCAATGCCCCCCCCTCAGGCTGGAGGGACGGTGCAGGGCATAGAGCCCCCCTTCCTCCCTGTACACAGGAGCCACCCAGACACTACGTACAGACCTGTGGCCCCCCTGCCTCCTCTCACAGACACTTGTGGACTCTCTCACCATGGGGGGGGGAGGAGTCAGGCCAGCCCCTCCATGTTGGCTTGCAAGCAGCCCATGCAGCTGCAGCAGTGCAGCATCATCACCACCACCTGCCGGGGGGGCAGCAGTGGAGACACACTACCTCACAGCAGGTGTGTCTGTGTCTCCGCCCCCCAGGCCACAGCCAGGATGGTGGAGGTTGAAGAAAAACTCCCCCCTAAATGTGAGCAGCCTCTGTGCTGCGGCTCCTACCATGTGACCTTTGAGGACACGTTTGCAGCGTACTGCCACCCCCAGCCCCTCCCAGCACACCCCCAGCTGCTGCACCGTATGGCAGGCGGAGAGCCACACTGTGACATCCAGCGGGCAGGCCCCCCCCCCCTCAGTGATCAACCACCTCACCCTTCCCCGCCTCGTGTCCTCCGTCAGTGAGACGGGTCTGGACAGCAAACACCTGCGCTGCTGCAGCCTGGGCCTCTCCTACAGCCGGCTGCCTGCACCCCCAGCTCCAAGGCACTTTGGTGGAGAGGAATGCTGCAGCCATGTCAGAACCACAACCCGGGACATGGGGACCATGACGACCCACAGACAGCTGAAGGATGTGGAGGTGCAGACGGCGCCGACTGCGACCCCCCATGTCTTCCCAGAGATTTGTCTGGCGGAGGAGAGCAGGACACAGACTAACACTGACAGTGATGGAGGCAGGAAGGGGGGCGGTGCTGCCAAGTCCCCGGTGAAGGAGGTAAAGTGGGATGCTGAAGGGATGACCTGGGAGGTGTACGGGGCCTCAGTGGACCCAGAGGAGCTGGGCCTGGCCATCCAGAAGCACCTGGAACTGCAGATCAAGGAGACAGCCAGCCACGCAGCCAAGCTGAGCCGCCAGAACACCAGCACCTCCCAGCAGGAGGGGGGGGGCTGTCAGAGGAAGAGGAGCAGGATGATGGGCTCCATCCGGGCCCCAGCCTGCTGCACCACAGCTGTGGACTAACCGGGGGGGGGGGGCTGCTCTGAGCCTCAGCCTGGAACTTAAAGGCAGGAGGAATAATCTGCTTCTTTTGAAATGTGATTAGTTATCATAATGAAAAGGGGAAACTATTGTTGAACTAACAGCAGCTTTATATTTAATTTGTTCTATGTATACAATGTCAACTATTGGAATCACGACTCGTGCAGCTGTGCAGTGCCAGGGTCATCAGTGAGCGTCTTCAACTAAACCTAAAGGACACACACACACCTGAGCTGTGTGAGGCAGCAGTCCTGCAATAAATATATTTGCAACTCACAACAGATGTGTAGAGAGTGTGTCACCCTGACCCTCCCCCTGAACCGGACCCTCACCCTCTGAGGCTGCCTTTACACGAGAACGAAGCGGGTTGTATCCGCATAGTTTCTCTTGCGTATAGCCCTTTCATTTACACGAGGCCGTAACAAAACGATAGAAACGGACCCCACAAACAATAACGGGTCCCAAAGTGGATAGATTTGCAAACTAAGGCTGCTTTTACATGGGAACGTTTGCGTTTATGCACAGTATGCGTTTTCAAAAAAGTCTTCCGTTCACATGCATTCGTTTCATTTAACATGTCTGTTCAAACGAGACCGCTGGAAACGCTGTAGTACATATGCCGGGACTGTAAGTGGCACTGTACTTCCACACGAGACCGCTCGAAAGCACTGGACACGCTGTAGTACATATGCCGGGACTGTAGGTGGCGCTGTAACTTCCGCCACAAAATACACCAAAAGCAGCGAAGAAGACCCCGGAGCAGCCCCGCAGCAATGTTGCCATGGCTACCCTTCTGTTTATGCCCCACGGTGGATTTAGCAACATGTAGTAGTTCATGTAATTCTCCATGTCCACTTGTTGCTGATGGTTGTGGTAGAGGAGCTGTAGATGTTGTACTAACATCTGTAGCATGGTCAGTAGCAGTAGCACTAACAGTAGCTACTGGCCATGCTACAGCAGTGAGCAGGAGAGGTGGGGCTATCGTTATTTTTTCAGGAAATATTCGTATAGAGGCGATTACACGGACTCGTTTGACCCCCCAGAGAGTTTCGTTTGCAAATCTATCCACCTTGGGAACCGTTATCGTTTGTGGGGTCCGTTTGTTACGGCCTCGTGTAAATAATAGGGCTATACGTAAGAGAAACTATGCAGATACAAGCCGTTTTGTCCTCGTGTAAACCTCACCTAAATGCTCTGGGGGGCCAAACGGTTCCGTTTAATCGCCTCTATACGATCATTTCCCGATAGATGAAGCCATAGCCCCGCCTCTCCCCACCTCTGCTGCTCACTGCTGTAGCATGGTCATACTGTCAGTAGCTACTGCTAGTCAGTGGCGGAGCTGGGGGGTGGCTGGGGGTGGCCGCACCCCAAACACCCTCACCACGGGGGCCCAAACTATTTTAGAACATTAAGAAAAAAATGTTTAAGTAACCTTTCATCATTCATTAAGAATTAACATTAATAGGACGTTATATTGATAATGTACTCACTAAACTTACAATTAATTTAACTTATTTTCTTCCAAAAGTTAATTATCCTAAGCCTCTGTACACCCCCTTCTATTTACATGTGATGGTTTGGTCCTGCCTCCAAACGTGGTGCAGCACCGCCGGCACTTTCTAGCAGAGAGTGAGAGCATGTGAGGAGGGATGCTAGTACTTACGTGTGTAGTTGTATACCATGTCTCAACGACTAACAAAGTCAGGCTTTCAAAAGAGAAAAGAAAGGAGAGAAAGACAAGAGAGGGCGACAGTATGTCACCCAGTTTTTCAAAGAAAAGGTGGGTGTGGTCCATGAGTGGTGGAAATGTTAGCTAAGCGTAGTCCATTGTAAATAATAATTTTTATGTTTTTTTTTTACTAAGCTGACATTAACTACTGTTAATATCTATACAGGTTTTTAATTTCACTGCTCTTTTAGCTGACATTTAATAAATGCAGGTAGATTTTTAGCAGCTATTCATACTAAATAAGTTGTCTCACCCTGGTGCAAGGACCAACAGATCCATCTTCAGGCTCAGCAGCCCTGTCCCCCCATAAGGCTGAACCTGAACCAGCTTTTCTCCCAACTGAAGGAGGTGAGCAGAATTGTGTTGAATGCCACTTAACATATCTGAAGGGAGACTGGAATACAATATATATATATATATATCAAAACAAAAAGCTAACATCTAATTTCAATTACACATTTCAAACACAGTATTTTTCCACATATTTAAAGGGGACCTATCATGCAAAATGCTCTTTTGTACGTCTTTTATACATGAATATGTGTCCCCGGTGTTCCAGGGAACTCACCAAGTGTCAGAAAACACAACCCTCTCTATTTTCATCCATACCCAAATCTCTAAAAAAGGGGCTGCAACGGATCTGATAAAAACTGATCCAGATTTGAACACTGTCCTGACGTCAGGACAGTGTTCAAATCGAAGAAGACTTCCCACGCATGGTTACCATGGTTACCCTTCTCTTTATTCTCCGCTGTGCCTTTTTCTCTCCCTCCCCGAGGCAAGCGTTTGCTCCTGCTGCTTTAATTCAATGCAATCCCTCCCCGTCGAGGCAAGCACTGTAATTCTCTCCGGTTAGTCCACCAGCAGATGACAAACACCCACCTCTCCGCCTCTTCCAAGGAACGAGGAGACCGTGCGGCAGAGTTTCAGTTATGTTTTCTTTCGCCGGTCAAGATGTCCGTTAAAGTTTAAATCTTCCGGACAAAATTAGAAAGGTGCCGGTCAAAGGTCTTCTTTGTTATTTATTGAGCTTTAAAACAAATGAATAACGACTCTATATAATAAAACACGGAGGACGGAGATCTATTTTTCTCCCCCTCTTCTGACAGCCCAGCAGCTGATCAGAGCACGGCTCACCTCTCCTGCAGGGGGGCGTGGTCAGCTGCAGCTCACAGAATCAGCCCCCTGCAAAAACAGTGCTGGAGAACAGCAAATAGAGCGAAATGAGGCATGGCTTAAAATCATGATATGTTTGGTATTTTGAAAACAGAAACGTATAAATATACCTTATACTGTATAGGTATGGCCCTACAATATATCATTTAAATATAGCATGATAGGTCCACTTTAAGTTATATTTATTTGGATTTATGCATTCATGTTGAGAATGTTCCATTCAAAAATGTTATTAAAAATGCATTTACACCATAAAAGATGACTATTGAGATCTATTGTCAGGAATGTTAGTCTTATATCAAATAGTGAATTCTACTGCAGCAAAATGTTGCACGTCTGCACAGTGTTATATTTTCACAGCTCAGTGTCAGTAAATATTGTGCAGTTAGTATTGGACTACAAGATAGATGCAAGCCTGTACAGGTAGAGTTATTTAAAGCATAAATGAGTCAGTTGGGTTCAGGAGGTGTGGTTACAGCAATTGTGCTTGGTTGACGTGGCCTGTGCCTGGTGGTGGGGCCCAATGTGATATATTTTCATGGGGCCCAAAATCCCTGGCGTGTATGGCCAGAGGGCAGGACCTATAAACACATTTACTACCCAATAGCATTGTGAGACTGAACAAAAGGACCTTTTAACTATGTAAATGTAGTCTTTTAAAAAACCAAAACATTTACTGACTTTTTTAGGATAGCTTAAGGGGCCTTACAGGGTTAAGGGCTATTGTTTATTGTTATTTACTTTAAGATGTTTATTCTTAACCAATAATTTAATTTAAAAACTCTTATTTAAATGATGTGTGTTTGTCTCTGTATTCCTGATGATACACTGAGAGAATGAGCTCATAGTGCTGCTGATCATCATAAGCTAAACAGTCTGTATATTGCATTACATTTGTATAATGTAAACTTCGTTGATACTTTGCCTGCGGGAATACGAAAAAAATAGTTAGATATACTGAATATTATTTGATCTATTCCACCACTTAAAGGTGGGGTAGGTAAGTTTGAGAAACCGGCTTGAGATACACTTTTTGTTATATTCCATGGAATGCTCTTAACATCCCGATAGCAATGAATATCTTAAGTGCTTTGACAAAAAATCCATAAAAAAATGTAATCTGTGGAAGCCGTAGTACTGTAAAAAGCACGACCAATCGTTTTAGCCGGCCTTGCTAAAATAACTGGATGGCCTACCTGCCTGTCAGCCTTCCATCTGTGCACAAACTTATCTCGTGCCCTCATTGGTCATGTGCGCGTTCGTGTGTGTTGGAGGAGGGGCTCTGTAAGGAAGTGGGAGATTTTTTCCGGCTGTGTATTTTCAAATTCTAGCACACTCGAGCTGGTTTCTCCAAAATTACCTACCCCACCTTTAATCCCAAATAATGTAGAGGTGTGTTGTAGGTGCCTTAAATAACCCCTTATTTTCTAGTGAGATGTATTTTTATGTTCATATAATAGTGATTTCAATGCCACCCCAAAATGATCACTGGTTCCATCCTGGCCACCCCACTGAAAATGTCCTGGCTCCGCCACTGCTGCTAGTGCTACTGCTACTGACCATGCTACAGATGTTAGTACAAAATCTACAGCTCCTCTACCACAACCATCAGCAACAAGTGGACATGGAGAATTACATGAACTACTACATGTTGCTAAATCCACCGCGGGGCATAAACAGAAGGGCAACCATGGCAACCATGCTCCGGGGTCTTCTTCGCTGCTTTTGGTGTATTTTGTGGCGGAAGTTACAGCGCCACTTACAGTCCCGGCATATGTACTACAGCGTTTCCAGCGGTCTCGTGTGAACAGACACGTTAAATGAAACGAATGCGTGTGAACGGAATACTTTTTTGAAAATGCATACTGTGCATAAACGCAAACGTTCCCGTGTAAAGGCAGCCTCAGACTGAAGCCTTCTCTTGATGTGGAGCTGGGGGGGGGTGTTTAGAACATGAATGTACATGACAGCAGAAGAGCAGGCCCTCAGTGACTTCAGTATCACACTGTCTGCAGACAGTGTGACACGTTGTGTCGGTGCCTCCTTCTTGGTTTTCAGCAAAAAAAGACTGTAACAACATTACACTATATCAATATCTGTAGAATGTCAACTATTATTCAGATTGATTTCACACTCATGACGTTATGATAAATGAAACCCTCTTTTATTGACGATTGTGATTGTGATTCCACTCTGGTTGAAACCTCCATCATGGAAACTCGGTAATAAAAGATGTGAAGATCCCACTTTGTGTTGATTTTTGTTTGTGTATGTTTAATAAATGACTTTAACTTATCATATTTAATATGTAGTGTTTTTTTGACCACACACCTTGGAGTACTTTTATAGAGCAGTGGTTCCCAACCTCCTTGGTCTCGTGGACCCCTTGAGCTGGTTCCCATTCTTTGGCGCATTTCCACTACACGGCCTCGCTCGGCCTCGCTCGGTATGGCTAGGCCTCATTAGGGCTGGCTCACTTTAT